TTGAAAGTATTTTTCTTTCTGAATTCTTAACTCTACAAGTATAGTCTCTGCTTCTATTTGTTTTTCAAGTAAGAAATTTAGCTGGGGAATGATGATTTAAAATGCAAAATACATCCAAATATTTTAGTTTGGGTTAGGATGAAGTAAAAAACTGAGTCTTTGGGACATACTTAGCGACATAACTAGGCTTCATTTGCTAAATTTAGAAACAACCGTAAGTTTACAGAGAAGGAGGCTAGGATATTGTACTTTTCAGGCCATGGCTGTGACTCTGAAATGATTAGACCCCAGGGCTCCTTATTGTGGGCCCCTCCTCCTTTTTCATGACCCAAACAGGATGAAATAATCTCTGTTTTTCTTTGGATTAAAGCTTGATAAAAAATTGGTCTTTTGGGCCAGGGATTTAGCTCAGTGGTTTCACCACCTGCTGCGCAAGTGCAAGACCCGAGTTTGATCCCCAGTACCAAAAAAAAAAAATTGGTCTGTTAAAAAAGTACAAGAATCCTATACTCTGGATAGCCTGTAGTACTGTCCTAGTAGAATATTCTCAGGGAAAAGGGAGGAGGGGACACTATTTACAAAAGCCAGTTTTCTGAGAGGTTTCCTTGCTCAGAAATACTGATTTCCTTTGGCCTTGTAGTGATCAAGACTCCTGAAGGTGGAAGTGGTTGTGCAGACTTTTGTAGCTTTCATGATGATAGAGTGTGAGGACAGGCATACGGTCCAGAAGAGAAGATACTTTGTAGAATGAAAACCGCTGTGGTCTCCACGAGATCTGTGGATCATTCAAACAGTGATGCTTACTGTGCTTCTGGCCTTGTCATCTGGTGTAGTTTTGGTGTAGGATGGTGTTGTGCTCAGTTCCACTTATATCATCCACAGTGCCAGGAGTCAGCCAAACCCACCCTGGCATTCATTAGACAGTGTGACCTTTTCCTGTTGGCTCTCTTTGAACGTATGTGAGTGTTATTCAGTCTGCTGGTGTATGTTTTGAATCATAGTGTTCAGGCTCAAGTTCAGAGCAGACAGACCCAGGGGAGGGCTTACAGGCACAGGTCTTTGTAGGCTGGTGGAGGTAGGGCTGTGCCTGGGTAATGTGCAACTCTGTTGAAAAGTGGTGGAAACTAAAGAGCGTTGTATTTCAAAAGTGGGTGAGTCACATTTTCTTATTGAAAAACTTCTAGCACAGAGCCGGGTATTTAGCTCAGTGGTTTCGCCACCTGCTGCACAAGCGCAAGGACCTAAGTTCGATCCCGGTACCAAAAAAAAAAACAACCAAAAAAAACTTCTAGCACATCTTTAGCAGCAATAGAAAGAGTAGTGTTTTAGGCAACCCCTGAGTCTAAAATGCCTGGATTTTTTTCTTTTCTTTTAAAAATAATTTTTGTTTTCCCACAAAATCATCTCTGTTTCAATTTGTTATACCTCTGTGGAGTTTTTCAAGAGAAAGGAGTTACCTGATGAGCAGAAAGAGAAACAATGCATGAATCCAGACATAAAAACTGAGTAAAGGAGACCTTTATACCCTATTTAATACTTTTAACCAGTAAAATCCCAACTTTTCAAGTTTGCATATAGAAGAGAAAAAGGGGCCTTTATCAGCCTGACAGTAAATTAAAGTCCTCAGTCTTCTTTGTTTACATACATACCCTAAAGTTCTGTCAGATTATGGGTGATACAGGCAAGCTTCCGGATAAAATGACCTGAGCTGTACTTGGACCAAAAATCTTGCCAGAGTACTGACCCTTCTTAAACTTGGCCTGGAGACAAAGGAATATCTGTTTCTGAGACTGCTACTGATCCAGCTAACCCAGCCTGCAGCCAGAGGGTCAAACATCTTCTTAGCTACCCTAATGATTTTTAAAAATATTTAAATGTTTTGAATTCCTTACCTTTCATCAGAATGCAGTGAGCCATAAATCAACAAGAAAAGCTGGCCCAGTGCCCAGCCTGCCCTACCACTTTAATTAGATGCCATTAAAACCTTTGAGAGGTAAGATTTTAAGGCCCAAATTTGGAACCTAAACTCTTAATTCAAGAACTCTGTAGCTGCTTTTTTCTGCCTGTATCCAAGATTGCTCTATTTGTGGTATTGTAAATTTAATGGAAGAAGAATAGTTCACTTCATATGTGCTAGACACTCATGGTTAGCTAAGTGCTCTTCAAGGATTAAGTTCCCCTTTGATGTTAGCTAAAGTCCTTAAACGCTTATTTAAACATGGCTTCTAAATTTTGGTGGGACAATGATGTATGTTTTTTAAATTCTGTAGTAAAAAAATTTTTGTTTTGATTCATTAATGGATAATATTGTAGAATTCATTTTGTTTTTTTGATATAGAATGTGCCTTGCATTGGTATGTGGGTGGGGTTCTGGTATTTGTGTATTCGTGTCTTTTAAGGAAATAAAGGTAGAGAGCAGCACTTGTTCCTTGCCTATATAAAGACTAACTGTACAGCTGTCAGTTTAAAAATACTGTATGAGACCACATTTCAGGTCCAACAGTAGCATCTGTTTCCCTCGTTCTAAGATCAACAAAAGGCATTGAAGATGGATGCTGAAAATGTGAGCAAAAACCCTTCCTTTTTGGCAAACTAATAACTCCTCTCACTGTTATTTTCAAATCAGTAGTAGACTGGCCTGTGCCATAAATTGAAAAATTAACAGGACATTAGTTCAAGGGGAATCTGTTCAGTTGTAGTACATTTAATTTTCACATTTATTTGGCCAGTAAACACAGGACGACATGTTCAACATATCTGGCCATTAGAGAAATACAAATGAAAACTACACTGAGATTCCATCTTACCCCAGAAAGAATGTCCATCATCACAAATCAAATAATAGGAAATGCTGGAAAGGTTTCGAGGGAAAAGGAACCCTTCTACACTGTTGCTGGAAATTTAAATTAGTCCAACCACTGTGGAAATCAGTATAGAGATTCCTCAAAAACTAAAACTAGAAATTTCATTTGACCCAGCCATTCCCCTTCTAGATATCATCTCAAAAGAGTTAAACAGATCATATAGTGATCCATGCACACCCATATTTATATGGTAGCAATATAATTAATAATAGCAAAATCTTGGAAGTGGCCCATATATCATCAGTAGATGAAAGGATAAAGAAAATGTGTTTACACAACATGGAATACTGCCATAAAGATGAACTTGAGTCATTTATAGGGAAATGGAAATACCTTGAGATAGTAATGTTAAATGAAATAAATCAGACACACAAGTTTAAGTATCATATTGTTTCTCTTTTTTTTTTTGTACTAGGGATCGAACTCGGGACATTGTTTCTCTTATATGAGAAATCTAGAGTAAAAATAAAGACCAAAATAAAAAATACATAATAGGAAGTAAGGGAATAGATGTTCTAAAGGGGAAGGGGATCAAGAGCTGGAGAGGGGGAGAGAAGGGAGAGGGAGAGGGATGGGAGTGAAAGACATTGGGATGTGTTACATGCACGGTCCAACTTTACACAAAGAATGTACACATTGTGTAGTACACACACATACAAAAGAAAAAGGAAGGGGATCAAGGAATGGCATGGGGGGGGAGTGGATGGAAACAGGAATTAGTATGTGTTATGTACATGTATCAACTTCCTACAAAGAATGTAATATTATGTATTACACACATGTACTAGTACACTAAAAAGAAAAAGAAAATTTAAAAATAGAATAAATTTTAGTTTTAGAAACTGACTCATCATACATTCAAAAGACTTGATTCATCATTTCCCTAAGATTGTATGTATTCTTTATAATATACATTATCTGCCATCTTGGCAATAACCTCGGTTTTAGTCTTCTAAGATATTGCTGTGGTTTGTGCAAGCTTTGTCTTCCAAATGTTCCTGTGCGCAGCCTTGGTTTCTAGTGTCACAGTACTAAGAGCTAGTAGAGCCTTTATGAGATGGAGTCCATCAGGAGGCAATTAAGTCACGAGGACACAGCCCTCTGAAAAGACGAATGTCTACCTCCTTCCCAGGAGTAGCCCAGGCCACAGGGGACTGGATCATCCCTGTGAGGCCAGGCTGTTACCAAGTGTCCTTGTCCTGTCTCTTACCTCTCTCACATATGTCACACCATGTGTTGCCATCACATTGTGATGCAGCCTGAGGCCCTCACCAGCCGTATTTCCCTGTTGTAGCTTCTAGAACTGTAAGCCAAAATAAACCTCTTTTTGTTATAAAGTACCCAGCCTTAGGCCTTTTGTTATAGCAACACAAAATGAACAAAGAGATATCTTCTGCCTTTTTGTGGCAGTGAGAATATTAGAAATAATATGAAGAAAATTTTAATAAGATATGTTGTCTTTCTTCATAGAAACTGTGTCTTATTTGGAGACTCTGTTATCCAGATCTTAGTGTAAAATAACTGCTAGATATGATGGAAAATATTTTCCCAGAACAAAGAAATGATCATAGACCTTACTAATCATTTGGCGGAGTAAAATTATATTCCTCATCTTATGACATAGGCATCCATACACCATGTGTACAGATTTTACTGGAGCTCCATCTTTTAGAATATTAACCCATATGCCTTAACAATACAAACTGACCAGCAGAAGTTGTATTTTAATACTTTTTTTAAAAAGTTATGGTAACACTGCTTTTATTTGTTAGTAGAGAACTTTGTCCTGTGTCTTTCTCACATTGACCACAGTGATGTCATCAGATTCTTTTGTGATTTGCGTGACTCCTGGGATCACAGAAAAGCTGTTCAGTCCCTCTGTCCATCCAGAAATAAAACCTAGGAATTGCATCCTCCCATCTCACTATCCAGGCTGCTAGCCACAGTTACTTCCCTTTAAAACAAAAACTAAAATAAATAGAAGAGCTATTAGCACACTAAGAATGAATTCCCAATAGAAGTTGTATTTGTTGCTCTGTAATACCCCAACAGAACAGAGACACAGTTGAGATAGCCCTGTCCCTTTTACATATTGGTTACTTACTAGGCCATCTGTTGTTTATTTTAGAAACTGGATTGGGATTTTTAAAAGTCACTTCCAAACTCTCCTCACCAGGGATGTCAAGGCAGGCATGCAACAGGAATCTGACCAGGTATAAGTGAACAGTTAACATCTGGAGCCTTCAGCAAGGAGGACTGCAGTGTGGCAGGCTGTTGCTGTCCTTGAGAATTTTCAGGCTAGGAGTTATCAGGTGTGCACATGAGTAAGTACACTAAATACTTACTAAGTACGTGTTAGGCAATGCCATATCGGTAAGTGATGTTTAAGGACTCTCTGTGGCTGAGATATTTGAGGCAAAACTATTGAGGTGGATGGTACTGCTAGCATGAAGCTTCAGAGGGGGTGTTTGGTTATTTCCCAAAACATGGTGCATATGCATGGGTCCAGTAAAGGATTGTAAGAGACCCAAGACATAAAGTTAAATCATTGTCAGGCACATCAAATGACAAGATCAGTGCTTTTCAGTTTCCATGAAATCTTTTGTACCATTCATGGAGCGTGCATGTGTTTGGAACTATGTGACCTTGGCCATCTTAGTCACACCAATTCACCTTCTTTTGTACCACACAGGTTGACATGGTTCTCATGACCTTTGTCAGGCAACAATATCTGGTTGCAGGTAATAGTGTTGGTATCTTTTACCAAGTGCTTTCTTTTTTTGGAACCTGGGATTGAATTCTTGGGACCTTGTGCTTGTGAGGCAGACGGAGGCACCACTGAGCTAAATCCCCAGCCCTTATCAAATTCATTTTTTATGATTTTTAAAAATTTTTAAATAATTTCTATGATTAGGATATATTTAGGGGAGTAGTACCAGTTTTTATCTACATAGATTATATAGTTTCTTTTCTCAGTGAATTTGTTGTTTAACAAAATCTATTAAGTAACCATAGGGAAATAAAATACAAATAGTAAGTAGAAAACAGTACAAATCCTGATGGTTGTGCTACAGGTGTGGGGGCTCAGGTATGTATAGGGTGGCTTTCTCATAAGAACAGAGTTCAGCAAAGTTTCTGCAGTGGAAAATGCAAAATATTTTGAGGGAAAAGTGAGTAAAGATGCTGACAGAAGCCCAAACATCTATTGGAAAGTCACAGCTCAGGAGCCTCCTTCTTCAGCTTGGTTGCCAGTCTGGGGAGCACAAGGCCGGTAGCTCCTGAATCTCCTGTAGTCTCAGGCCCAGGGCCCATGGTGAAGGATTCAGAATGGCTGAGGGCCTGGCCATTCCACTCGGGATGACTAAGGGGTCCGGAAGTCACCTAGATGCTGGACTGGCCACCGAGAAACCGGAGAGGACCTGTGTTCCCGCTCACCCCCTCAGTGTTGCCAGAGGTCAGATTTTTTTTTTCTCAAAAGTGAGGATGTGAATTTTTATGTGAAAGTGTAAAGTCCCACATGTTTTTCATAGTTAAAAAAATAAACATTCTAGATATAAAAGTGTTAATGGTTGCACAACATTGTGAATATAATAAAAACTACTGAATTGTAAACTTTTAAAATGGTTACAATGATGGATTTTATAGTATGTGGATTTTATCTAAATTAAAGAAACAAACAAAATATTTATGGGGCCCAACCAAGTCAGTACCAGCCCAAAGTTTGTAAGCATTGTTTTAATTATTCTTTGCTCCTTTTTGATAGTGCCAACATAAAATACCTTTCTGCAGGGGAGCGAGTGCTCTGAGCTTGCCCTAGGACCTCTGTTTTCTTCCCATGGTCACTGAGGCTTCTTCCAGCCCTAGAGATAGCTGGTGAGAGAGATCGTGACAGATGGAATGGTGGGCTTACTACTGGAGCATAGAATCAAAAAAAAAAGCAAAGTTAGAAATGGTGGGAGTTGCCAAAATATTTTAGAGATGTTTATTTTATTATTTGGCAACTGGTCATAAAATTGACCAGTTATATTCTTTGCCAAAGTTTATTTTACCTAGATATTTACCATTAGGGAAGTAATCCATCTTTAAGACAGCAAGTTAATATATGTAAGGAAATGTTTTTCAGTTCTTAAAAAGGAATGACTATTATGGTCTTTTTAGTTAGTTTCTTTAATTGTAAAATGAGTTTTAATATACCAACTATGTGTCATCAGCATCAAAGGATTATAAATATTTTTTTAAAACTATTTGTCTTGATGGCCCATCAGCTCAAGAGGCCAGAGAGCAGGCTGCTGAGGGAATAAATTTAATTAAGGTCTTTGCAAAAATAGAAGCACAGAGGGGCGCATATATAGAATTAACACTTCAAACTTATCAAGAAGCACTCAGCCATTCTGTGGCTTCCTGAAAATACTTTAAAGTTATATATCATTTTATAAAAATGCCTACTTGTCTCCTTAATATTAAGGTGACTGTTTAAGTTTAAAACTGTCAGAATTAAAAGGTATTGATTTGTAGTTTTCTACAAAACCTTTTTGCTTTTAAAATGGCAGATGGTGCCTCTGACAAAAATACAAAGAAAAACTTGTTACCTCACTCACTTTTCTGGGGTGCAAGGGGATAACTGAATATATTTGAATGCCTGATTATGAATTTCTCTGATGGTGTTAGACAAGTGCAAAGTTAAAAAAAAGAATAAAAGAAGTACCATGCGTTTCTGTGGAAAAAAAACAACCCCTATTTGTCTTTTGGCACTAGGTTATCTTATTACTTTAAATTCTAAATATAATTTTTAATTATCCAATTTCAGTAAGACCAAAATATAACATTTTATATTATAATTTAATCTTTTCTTTCTAAACCAACAAAGAAAAATAAAGTTTGTATCTTTTAAGATTGCCAGTTTCTTATGAATTAATCCTAAAAAATATGCCTTTTATCTTAAAAAAACACATCTGTGGGCTGGGGATTTAGCTCAGTGGTGCTGATGCCTGCCTCAAAAGCTCCAGGTCCTGAGTTCGATCCCTGGTACCAAAACCAAAACAAAAAAACCCCCAGATCTAAACTCTTAAAAAAAGAAGAAAGAAAAAAGGGTCTTATCTTTAGTTGTTAAATGATTCTTTTAGAATAAACTTTTTCTAAAAGATTATATTGGAATCTTCATTTTTTATGTAAGAGTATCTGAAATATGGTTTGTAATTAATAGTAATATCATTTATTTTTAGCCTCTTGTTTTGGTTGTGTTTTATAAAAAAAACAGTACTGACTGCCTTTTCCTCCTTTCTTCCTGCCCACTCACCCCAAACAACCTGAGAATTTCTTGATCCAGCAGATAAATACTAAAGATTAACTGAGCATTTATTATAACAATGAATAAGTAACCATAATCACAAAAATTTTACTTTTGGGGAAAATGGAAGCATATAAATAGGATGTAAAGCAGTTTTCAGTAAGAGCTGATGGCAAGATGGAGCATTTCTGGATAGCACACTCAAGTGAAGAAAGGCTTCTTGGCAGAAGTGGTGCTGGGGAGACCTGGAGACTTCACCAGCTCAGGTGGCTCCCCACACATCTTCTCTGCTCAGTGTCACCTTCTCAGAGTGGCCTTTCCCCAACTATCCTGCATGAAGAGGTAACAGAGTTTTCCTTCACCCCAACCCCCCTTCTTTTTCAGCTGGCCTCTATCACGGTGGTGGCGAACCTATGACACACATGTGACAGCAGGCTGCTTGTCATCACTGAAAGCTCTGAAAGGTTCACCATCACTGCTCTATCACTTCTTGACATTTTTATACATTTCTGTGTCATAGGTCTCTTGCTACTGAAATCTGAGTCTCCTAAGAACAGGCAGTTTACCTGGCATATGATAGTGCTTGATAAAAATTAGTTGAGGGCCAGGGATTTAGCTCAGTGGTTCCGCCACCTGCCTCGCAAGTGGAAGGACCTGAGTTCAATCCCTGGTACCAAGAAAAAAAAATTAGTTAAATAGGCAGATGTGGTTCTACATGCATGTAATCTCAGCAATCAGGAGGCTGAGGCAGAACGATTACAAGTTCAAGGCTAGCCTTAACTATATAGCAAGACCATCTCAAAAAATTTTGTTAAGTAAACTAACGAGTAAGTAATTGTTAAGTAAATTTTGTTAAGTGAATGAATGAATCAGTGAATGAAAGAAGTCTTTTTTGTGTGTGTGCCATAAATCTGTTAACCGTGTAGAGCTCCAAACTAGTGTAGAGAATCCAACTTCAACTTTTTCCTAGGATCTTTATAGATTTGGTAATTTTACCACCTCTCTCTGACCCAGTTTACATATTATATAAAAATAAAGAAATAAAGGGAAGATTTTGGTACCCAAATGTAACTTCCTGAAGTCTGTGACTAAATAACAAGTGTTATAAAAACAAATCATTATCACCCAATCTTCTTACCCTTCACCTGCAAATCCTCCTTAGAAACTTATCACACATAATTTATTTTTAAATTATTTCTAAAATTTGTGAGGCCCACATGTGTCCTCTGGTTTCTGATACACAAGTACATTGCTAGGCAGATTTCTTAATTCTGGACTGCCCTGTAGGACTGCCATAGATCAGCTTTGAAATCCAGTTATATCTGAGTCAGTGTTCTTTAGTCAGATGCCCAGAAAGTGAACATAAACAGCTGGGGATTTAACTCTGTGGTTCCACCACCTGCCTCACAAGGGCAAGGTCCTGAGTTTGATCCCCAGTACAAACCCCCCCCCAAAACAAAAAGAAAGAACCCCAATGAAGATGGCCCAGAGGGCCCAAGGGCAACTGGAAAGGGTTATTTCTCTTAAGGAGGGAGTCACATGGGGAATGTGGGCCTATTTTGCTCAGATCTTACGATTGCTCACAGAAGATCAGAAACATATTTTTTTTGTTGTTAAATTCTTTTATTGGTACATTTTAGGTATGCAACACAATTACATTTCTCATTGGGAATTGTACCTTTACATAATGCAAGAAACACACATTTTGAGGTTAATCTCCCCAGTTTTCTAACATGGACCACTAATCCAAAGAACAATACAACACTGTACATGCCAAACAATAGAGTCAAATCTCTGCAAGGGATCCTGACCAAAATGAAAGAGAACATTAGGAGGGGAGAGAAAAGGGTAGAAGGAGGAATCAGATCCACTTCACAGATCTTAAATGCCTTCCTAGAAGTGAATAATAGTGCTTCTGTAAAGCTCTGGAGTTTGTTCAGGGTTTTCCTATAGAATTTCAGAATTTAGGGTGTCTGGATATTGAAATGAAAAGTGTAAGGGCCAGCAAATTCCCTCTATTTGTTTACCTTTATTTAG